TTAATGCCACGTGCTGATGGTCCCTTTAAGGTGTTAGAGAAAATAAATGATAATGCATATAAACTTGAGCTGCCTGCAGATTTTGGGGTTAGTCCCACTTTTAACATTGCAGATTTGAAGCCTTATTTGGGTGAGGAAGATGAACTTCCGTCGAGGACGACTTCATTTCAGGAAGGGGAGGATGATGAGGACATTAATGCAATTGTTACACCCACAGCCCCTGCTGCTATACATACTGGACCAATTACTAGAGCTCGTGCACGCCAACTAAATTACCAGGTACTTTCGTTTCTTGGTAATGATTCTAATGTTCATGAGAATATGATGCTGCCTAAATTGGATACATTTGTTTTGCTTACAAATGAAGGGCCTAGCTTGAAGAAGGATGAACATTGGAGCAAGAACAAGCATGGAGATGATGGCATGCGCAAGGGGAACAAGAACGGAGTTACAAGTGATGATTTTAGGACTTTGAAGCCACCATAATGGGTGCATGAAGCCTTGGACGAAATATACAAGATGCCACTTCATAAATTTCGTCCCGAGGCTATTTTAGGTGCTGCGTCACCTTATTATTGGGCCAGGCCCATGTAATTTCGAAATACATAAGTATAGGCTATTTTTAGAGTCCGTATGTGTGGGGAAACAAGAGATAGGTTGATTTCGGACCCCTCCACCAAGGGCCACGAAATTCCCCCCCCCCCTCTTCCTCCATATATACAGCCCTTAGGGCATCGTTTAGACTCTGGGTTTTGTTTAGATTAAAAGTTCGCCATAGCTGCAACTTCGCGTACTTTGTTTGTGTTCAACGACGAGACAAAGGCGTCACAGAACCCCACCTTGATCAATAAAGCTTTCATCTTATATTCGCAATATCCAGATTGCAATCTCAGTTTCTTGCTTGTTCTTCGTTTGCTCGCAGGAAACAGACCCTCGTGGTCAGATTGATCGTGCTCCGGCGTGGTCAATAACCTCTCGGAGTTGGTTTAGCGATTGCTAAGGCGCGACGTCCTCGCACATTCGTAGTCGGATCGTCAAAGTCGACTACCACCAAAGCGATATACATCATCTCATCAAAAGACGGGACACCTTTGCCTCTATCAATACCATTGACCGATGGTTGGTCACTGATGTGCATATCAATGGCGCCAAGTAGGATGGTCAATGATTACTTGTAATTGCCTTTGCAGCTTGGGGCTGCACTATTGACACTAACACAAAGCACTTATATAGACATGCACAGTAAGCAAGCACATCCATATTCATATCATAAAAAACATTACATTTCATTCATATTTTGTCCAAATGTTTAGAGATAACATTGGCACCAAACCAGTGCAACGTAAAATTATCTTGGCTTCTAACAAAATGGGTTGATGACGATGAAATCTTGGAGTTGCCACCGATGAGATTCCTACGCGAGTGAGGAAAACTTACTCTAAGGAATCCAATAACCGACCTTCCACTTCACCCATTTTAGGTTGATAGAGAAGATAGTTATGTCAACAAATCGATAGGGAAGGAGAAAGTGTCAACTTTCCAAAGTTGTAACACACATATATATCTTAATAAGAGGATGTGCTGCATAATAAAATAGCAACTTGATAAATTAGAAAAAAGTGACAAACTTACAATTGCTTAAAAAATTGCTAAGAAAGTCCAACTCAGGCCGCACTTGTTGTGCGATTTGGTCCCAACTTTTTGTGTTGTGCAACCAAAATGGAGTAACGTCCCCATTGTGACATTTTAGTTGCGCTGCACATAACATTCTTAGCAAAAGGTTGTTTTATGCAATATATTAAAAGGACACAACAACAACAACGATTTTCTCCTAACCCTGTAGAGAACATGTTCATTTGCTATACTTGATAGTCATACACATAGTAATAAAAAGTGACTACCAAACACTTGCATTGAAAGCTAGGCACATACTTAGTTGCTAAGGTCACAAGTTTCATCACCGGTCAAGTTTCCAAAGTGTAGTATTAAAGTGTGCTTACAAAGTATGAGTTGAATAGCTTGTCTAAGTTATTATCTAAATACCCATGTAGACAAAATAACTAAGACATACATACTTTTAGTTCTTGCATCATCGGTGATATGAATAAAACCTACATAGTTAGATCTTAAGATTCAAAATCTAGTTTTAATGTGCACAAGTAAAATTCTAATATCCATAGTAAAATAAATAGAAATGTATTCCACAATCATAATGACTCGTCCATAAGATGCATAGCAAACTTCAAATTACAACACTAACGGAAAGGAACATAACTCACCATCGTGGCCGCCTCCTCGACCAACAATTAGGTAGCACATGTTGTGTCCACTATCGAGCATATATGTGGGAGACCCAACATTTGACCATCGACTAGACTGCAACGGCAGTACAAATCCCATGCGTTGTCGTCGACCACGGCCTCAGACTCTCTCCAAGCAATAGTAGCGAAGGCGTCAGGTAGTAGTGACCGCCTGGGGGAGACACAAGACACACAATGTTGGCCGCGACCTCAGACTCTCTCCAAGCGATGGATCGGTGCCAGGATAGAGGGGGAGTGGTGACGACGTAGAGAGATCCATGGAGGCCGACGACCGATGGTTAAGGCCGAGAGGGAGTGGTGTCGCGGATATACCAATGAGATTAGTAATGCTTCTACATTTTAAAAACAACTACATTTTGTATGATTTTCGAACTGAATATCAACTTTATAATAAAGCCTCTAAATAAATACTAGTAGATGGTACATGCCATGCACGTGATGTCTTGCGATCAGACTACAACATGATTAATTCTACATGGCTTCGTGCCCATATGTTTTTACATGATGGGTGCTTCTGCAGGAGTACAGTGGGTTCACGATAACCCCAGAACGACCATCTCGACGTCGTTTTGGCGCGCGGCCGCACCAAGCGAATCCCGGAAACCAGGGTCGTTGGATCAGTTGGGTTGGGTAAGAAATCAATGGCTAATAAATGCTTCTATGTGATGAGTCCAAGTTCAAAAATTTGTGTACTATAGTAGTAGAGACAAGGAAATGTTTTACTGTAATAATGTAATGTAATAATTAGCTACCATGTTTGGATGACATAATGACAATGACTAGCCACTATATTTGGATCACATAATGACACTAATGTTTATATTTTTAGTTTACTATGTCTAGTCTTGCACAGTGATTGATACCTGGTAATGCTTAAAGTTGCAAAACAGATCTCCCAAATACACATTATATGCTTCTAAAGTTAGATGAGAGAATATTATGTTAGTAGTAATTACAATGCAACATGTGAGTCGTCAACTTTGTCCATCCGGTTTGCTTGTATCCTAAATCTACTCTATGGTACATGGTTGGTCATGAGTTCAGACATGACACTCACTTCTAATAAAATTAGGAAGACATTAAGCGCGTTGCTATGGGTATTCTTACCAATGCAACAAAACAATGATGTGTTGAATGCAAGAAATTGGATGCCCATGCTTACCAACATAAATACAGATTATGTTCTGTGTTCTCAATTTCATACAATGTACAAACTTGGCAAGGGGGCCTAAAAAAGCCACAAGATTGAGCAAGGGGGAAAGGCCGCTACGTGAGTGCGCTAAATGCTACTCTGTCATAATGAGGTGTTGCCCGTTGGCAACTCGCCGCGAATATCTTCAAGCACATGAGTAACCAAGCTCTTTTGAGCCTATAAGATGCAACAATAGAGTTAATGGAGTGAGCACGCATAAGAAACCCCCCTTCCCCCGCGCGCGTGCAATGATAGGCCTCCAATCCATCGACAACGTGTATTCATGGATTCCCCGTGAAAGGATCAGGGCCAACAACCTCATCTTAGTTGGCACTCACAACTAGATGGGACGCGACCAAAAAACATCGGATGTTTGGCTGTCTCCAGAATGCATCAAATGCAGTTCCTTTATTTTTCATTTTCATGGCTTGGCGAAGTCTAGATAGGAAGATGGGTGTGAAAGTAAGTTAAGTTGCCAACAGTTATTGTTGGTTGTTCGCAACTTGTGGAAGTAAGTTGCCAACACTTATTGTTGGCTGTTGGCAACTTACTTCCACACAACCGGTTTTAGACGATGTAACCGTTATTTCTAATTAATAAAGCTTCATCTTTCAAAAAAAATAGGTTGTCAATAATTATTATTACCCTTGTCTTTTGAGGTGAACCGGCTAAAGCATGGTATTCAATAAAACTTGTTGATGCATGGAACTACTTAATAAGTTGAGATGGTTGGTGTCTTGTCGATAAGAATTATGTCTCTAGTTTGGTAAAAGCTAAAAAGTAACATGTCGCTGAAAATGAAAGAAACTTGAGGACCTTGCTTGTATGTCTCAGGCCGAATATAAATAAAATAATATTGTGGGGGGACACACAAATTTTCTTTTGAGGGAATGAAGGACAATCATTTTTGTTTTACTTAGCTGATGATGTAGTCTTAAGTTCCCTTCGTTCCTCATGATGTTTTGATTTGAAAACAGACATATCTTTCGAATTTGAATGTCAGTTTATGTTGCCAAAAATTCTTTTCTTAAACTTTTCATCTTCATTCCCCAAGTTTTACATGTTTATCACGCACACTAGGTCATGCTAAGCGACGGCTAATAAAGAGAAAAGTAAAAAATTGACAAGTATGGGAAAGAAAACACGTTCCAATAACAGGGGATAGAAAAGAATCAACAATTTGGAATCTTCTAGCTACCAATTAATTACCTACCTATGATTGCGTAATTCCGTTTCACGTCCGACATATATATCCCCTACCAATTATAGGCTCTACAAAATCCATCGACATCAACCGGTTCATCCGTGCTCGCCGCCTCGCATAAAAGCCACGAGACAAGAAGCTTTTCGGTTGTCTGTCTGGGCAAGCCCAACACAATTCACTCACTCTCTCTCTCTCTCTGCTTCGACGTCTCCTCTTGCCTGCCGCCTCTCTGCTTCGTGCCAAGTGAAGCTAAGCTGTTGATGCGAGTGAGGGTGTGCCCGCCATGGCTCTCGCAGACGACCACGACGAGTACGCGAAGCTAGTCCGGGGGATGAACCCGCCGAGGTGAGCAATTCGATTAGCCGCCCTTCACTTTTTGTAAAGTTAGCTTCGTTTTAGGGATTTCTTGGGCTCCATTTCGATTTTTGCAGTTCTTGACCTGCACAAATTTTGGTTATTGTTTCCTTTTGTTGGTGTGTTCTTCCTTCCTTGATCCTCAAATCTCTGTTCCGAAAGGACGGTCCTTGGTTGTTCGAAATTGGGAATCCTCTGCTCCTGGTTCCATCCTTGCTCTGCTCTGTTCTCATGATTTGGAGATTGGACGTGCTGTTGCAGGGTTGTGATCGACAACGAAGCCTCCGACGACGCAACCGTCATCCGGGTGGACAGCGTCAACAGCCACGGCACCCTCCTCGCCGTCGTCCAGGTCATCGCCGACCTCAACCTCGTCATCCGCAAGGCCTACTTCTCCTCCGACGGCAGCTGGTTCATGGACGGTGAGTGCGCCACACGGCCATCAAGACTTCTAGTTCTTCTAGCCCTCCGCCCAATTTCCGCGGAATCTAAGAAATTTCGGTTCTTCGTTTTCCCCTTGTTGTCCGCAGTGTTCAATGTCACTGACCGTGACGGGAACAAGGTTCTTGACACGCCAACCATCTCCTACATCCAGACGGTAATTCAGTCAAAAATTTGGTGCCCGGACGATGGAGTTTTTCATTGTGACGAGGAGTTTTTGAGGATTCAATTTGTTGTGTGTATGCAGACGTTGGAAGCCGAGGACTGCTACTACCCGGAGGTGCGCAACACGGTGGGCATCGTGCCGTCGGAGGAGTACACGTCGATCGAGCTCACGGGCACCGACCGCCCGGGCCTGCTCTCCGAGGTGTGCGCGGTGCTCGCCGGCATGCAGTGCGCGGTCCGGAGCGCCGAGCTCTGGACGCACAACACGCGCGTCGCGGCCGTCGTGCAGGTCACGGACGCGGCCAAAGCCGCGGGCGGCGCCATCGAGGACAAGGCCCGCATCGCCGACATCAGCCGGCGCCTCGACAACCTGCTGCGCGGGCAGAACGGCGTGCGAGCGGCGGCCGCGGCGAGCCTGACGCACAAGGAGCGCCGCCTGCACCAGATGATGTTCGAGGACAGGGACTACGGCGCCGCCGGACGGCCGGACCCGCGGACGGAGGTCTCCGTGACGCACTGCGCCGAGCGCGGGTACACCGTGGTGGTGGTCCGGTGCAGGGACCGGCCCAAGCTGCTGTTCGACACCGTGTGCACCATCACCGACATGCAGTACGTCGTCCATCACGGCACCGTGAGCTCCGAGCCGGGCGGCGGCGCCTACCAGGAGTACTACATCAGGCACGTGGACGGCCACCCGGTGAGCTCCGAGGCCGAGCGCCGGCGCGTCGTCCAGTGCCTCGAGGCGGCCGTGGAGCGCCGCACTGCCGACGGGCTGGAGCTGGAGGTCCGCACCGACGACCGCGCCGGCCTGCTCTCCGACGTCACCCGCATCTTCCGGGAGAACGGGCTGACGATACGGCGCGCCGAGATATCGTCCGAGGACGGGGAGGCCGTGGACACCTTCTACCTGTCGGACCCGCAGGGCCACCCAGTGGAAGCCAAGACGATCGAGGCCATCCGCGCGCAGATCGGCGAGGCCGCGCTGCGGGTAAAGAACAACCCGCTGGCCGACGACGGCGGTTCCAGCTCCGAGGTCGCCGCCGGCTCGACGGCATTCCTCTTCGGGAACCTCTTCAAGTTCTACCGTCCGTTCCAGAACTTCGGCCTCATCAAGCTCTACTAGAACTAGTAATACTACATACAGAAATCATATGTAGGGTTCACAGATACAGATCTCAGTGTACATATTGGTCCAGTCCTTCCGGTCGGAAGATGATGGTGATGATCAAGCTAGTCTGGTGTAGATAGGTTGTGTAGACAGGGTAGCACAAACTAGCTCTGGAAAGAAATGTTAGGTCAGCTCAGAAAGGATAGCATCATAGCAACTAGTTTAGCTTGGGTATATACTGGAATTGGGTTGTACCGCTAGAATCTCTGTAAATACTCATCTTGTACATATATTCTTGTGGAGAAATATATATCAATAAGAAAACTTGTAAATACGTGCATGCATCATGTGTCATGTGTTTAGAATTTGCAAGAAGGTGTTCATTTGCATTTGTTAGGGCTACTCCAACGTCCAACGTGCCGACCAAAACGGACGCCCACTTTGTCCGTGGGTCGGTGATGTGGATCAGATCATGACCAAGGCATTCAAGAGTGAGGTTAATGCTAGCACAAATGCTGAATCATTAGAGCATCCAAAGGAAGACAAGGGCAAAACCATTATCTTAGTTGGGAAGCTTCCGGTGCCTATTTTGGGAGAAATGACACATCAGATTTCCAGCTGCAACTTCTCACCTAAACCTAATTAATTCTGGAAGTCTCTAGCACCTTATAGAGGCTGGAAAAGATGGTCTTAGAAGTCAGCTTTCATTCAAAAAAAACCGGTGCATCATTTAAAGTCTTGAGTCAAAAGTTGTGCAAGTTTCCATGCAAGCTTACAGCGCGAGGCTCAACAAGTTTGCTCCTGCTACAGCTTGGGGCTCACGAATTTACCCTTCCTTTTGAGTTGTTTTCACACCTAACTAGTGGGTGCTTCTAGTATAAATACTCCCCAGCTGTTCCATGTGAGGGGGATGAGATTTCTGAGTTTATGCTTGTAGACAGCCGGTGAGGTTGTATTGTGCTGTGAGCACTAGTATCGTTGAGTGTTAGCTCGTGTGTGTGGATTGGAGGGCCTGTCCTCAATTCATATAGGATTCTTGTGGTTCCCTCTTGTGATTCTTCATAGGTTCACAAGCTTCATGGTTTGGGTTGCATCCTTGTAAACCAAGCTAGTTATCCGCTGCAATTTATCTGAGAGTGTTTCCTCTTATTCTTGCCACTTGAGAGTAACAAAGTTTGTTGAAACAAGTTTTGAGTGAGTTTGTTGCTGCTTCTTGTGAGTTCTTTGGCATCGTGAAAGATCGTTTCCGAGGCGTCCCGCATCATCTTGGCATCAGAGCTTTAGGTTGTTCGCGGTGCTATTTTCTCTCTTGCTGATTTTGTCTTGAGAAGCTTCCATGGGTTCGAGGAGATCCATCAGTGTTGATGGTGTGCATGGAGGTAGGCACCTCGTGGAGGAGGAGCTGCCACTTCCCGTGTATGATCCAAGCTTGCATCCCGCCTATGTGTTGGCATTGGAGGATACACGAGAGTATGTGTTGAACAAGGTGGAGAGGCGCATATCGGCCGTGGAGACCAACCTTGGCCGGAGAATCGACTCCCTCATCGAGGAATTCCGTCGAGATAGGCTTACTGCACGGGGTCGACAACGACAAATCCCCGAACAGCGGGGCCAACGCCACCTTGAGGAGGAGCATGGAGAGCACAACCACGTCTACTCGGGTGATGCTCATAGCTACTACGCTGCACCACCTCGGCGTGCTCGCTACGACCAGCGAGGTGCTACTTGGGCGCCACTGTCACCACCACGAGATGGGCTTGCGGCACGGGGTCGACAACGACAACTCCTCATACAGCAGGACCACCATGGAGAGCATTGGAGCGACCACTCTGATGATGCTCGAAACTACTACGAGCCTCGACCACGACGTGTTCATCATGATCATCGCGGAGAAGGCCAAGAAGGCTTTGCCATGGGAGGAAGAGGTCATGGGCGTGCTCATCGTGACCATGAAGATGATGGGATTGGTAAATTCAAACTTACCATACCATCGTTCAATGGAAAAACCGAGACCGATGATTATTTGGAGTGGGAGATGCGTGTGGATCAGATTTTTTGACAGCCACCGCTATACGGAGGAGAAGAAGGTACGATATGCATCCATTGAGTTTACTGGATATGCTTTGATTTGGTGGAACCAATTGTGTCGTGCTGGAGGTCGTCCGGAGACATGGGCACAAATGAAAAATCTGTTGCGGAGACGGTTTGTTCCTGAACATTTCACAAGAACCTTGTACAATCGACTCCAACGGTTATGCCAAGGTAATTCTAGTGTTGATGAGTACTATAAGGAGATGGAGATTTTGATGATTAGGACAGCGGTGAATGAGCCAGATGAGGCCACAATGTCAAGATTCTTTCATGGACTGAATGAAGATGTGCAAGAAAGGATAGAGATGGTTACATATCAAGATTTGCAAGAATTTGTGCATCAAGCTATTCGTGTAGAGCAGCAGCTGAAGCGTCGCCAAAATCGCAGCCAAACCTATACATCAAGCACTTGGAGAGGTTCAGCTCAGCGATAAGTAGACGAAAGTGTCGCTGCAGATTTTCGCTCACACAACAAGATGACTACAAAGGAAGCTAATGCATCAAAGGTTGAATCTTCCAATACTCCTGCCACTTGCATTAGTAATATTCAGTGCCATACATGCAAGGGTAGAGGTCACTTAAAGAAGGATTGTCCTAATCTGAAGAAGGTTTTACTCACAAATGATGGATATGTCACCGATGACTCAAGTGACAAATCTGAATCTGAGAAGAAAGATGCAACTTATTGTACTTTTGAGACCGGAGCACCTCTGAGTTCAGATGGAGGAGATGGTGTTAATCTCATAGTTCACAAAGTGGCTCATGATGATGCTCCTATTATTGAAAATGGCCAGCGATAAAATGTGTTCCAATCCATTTGCAAGATTAAGGATAAAAACTGCAAGGTGGTCATCGATGGAGGCACTACAACAACATCTTTAGTAGTGATCTTGTGCATGCTCTTGGGATGTCAACATGGAGGCAGCCCCAGCCATATTATGTGAAGTGGCTGAATGGTGTTGGTAAGCTGAAGATTACGCATCGTGCGAGGGTGCAATTTTCAGTGGGAAGTTATGTGGACAAAGTGGTATGTGATGTGGTGCCAATGCGAGCTTGTCATCTTCTTTTGGGAAGACCGTGGCAGTTTGATCATGATGCTACTCACCATGGGAGGTCTAACAAGTATTCTTTCATGCATCAAGGAGTGAACCATGTCTTGGAACCTATGGTGGATCAAGTACTCAAGGTTGAGCAATTTCCACAAGTGAAGAAGCCCAAAAAGAATACCTCAAAACTGAGGACGGTTTTGTTTGAAGGAAGGGAGGATGATGTGGACCAGATCATGACCAAGGCATCCAAGAGTGAGGTTAATGCTAGCACAAATGTTGAACCATTAGAGCATCCAAAGGAAGACAAGGGCAAAACCATTATCTTAGTTGGGAAGCTTCCGGTGCCTATTTTGGGAGAAATGACACATCAGATTTCCAGCTACAACTTCCCACCTAAACCTAATTAATTCTGGAAGTCTCTAGCACCTTATAGAGGCTGGAAAAGATGGTCTTAGAAGTTAGCTTTCATTCAAAAAAAAGGTGCATCATTTGAGGTCTTGAGTCAAAAGTTGTGCAAGTTTCCATGCAAGCTGTCCAGGAATTTATTACAGCGCGAGGCTAAACAAGTTTGCTCCTGCTACAGCTTGGGGCTCACGAATTTACCCTTCTTTTTGAGTTGTTTTCACACCTAACTAGTGGGTGCTTCTAGTATAAATACTCCCTAGCTGTTCCATGTGAGGGGGGATGAGATTTCTGAGTTTATGCTTGTAGACAGCCGGTGAGGTTGTGTTGTGTTGTGAGCACTAGTATCGTTGAGTGTTAGCTCGTGTGTGTGGATTGGAGGGCCTGTCCTCAATTCATATAGGATCCTTGTGGTTCCCTCTTGTGATTCTTCATAGGTTCACAAGCTTCATGGTTTGGGTTGCATCCTTGTAAACCAAGCTTGTTATCCGCTGCAATTTATCTGAGAGTGTTTCCTCTTGTTCTTGCCACTTGAGAGTAACAAAGTTTGTTGAAACAAGTTTCGAGTGAGTTTGTTGCTGCTCCTTGTGAGTTCTTTGGAACCGTGAAAGATAGTTTTTGAGGCGTCCCGCATCATTCGGCCAGGCGCACATGCGCGTCACCTTTTTGATTTGGGTCAGCAGATGCGCCCAACAAGAGGCATACCCATTTTCGCTGACCTAGCCGAAACCGACTTAATTAAGCATAATTATACATAAATGACCGGTCAAACACCGACCAAAGTCCACTTAAACATAACTAACCTAAAAAAACTCTAATAAACGCCCGCACGCTACCCTAGGAGACCGCCTTGCCCTTGCACTTACCCTTGCCGTCGTCGTCGTCGCCGCCGGTGAGGTCGATGAAGACGGGAGGCAACCCAGCCCAACCGAACGCGGTTTGATAGGCCGCCAGGACAGCCTCCTCTGGCGTCTGCCGCGGCAGCGGCATTGCAGCGAGGCAGGCGCGCTCCTCCTCCTTCTCCTCGTGCGGTAGTGTCTCCTCACGGCGTAGCTGCTGCTCCCGGCGCATCTACCGCTCGGTGTCAGCCCCCTCCTTTGCGATACAATGCACCTTCTAGCGCTCAAGGTTGGTCGCCTCCTCTTCCGGGATGGAGGCGAAGTAGCAGGGAGGCGCGCTCAACCACTCGCGGAGCTGGCCGGTCCATGAATATGACTCCTTGGGCCAAGTGGGGGGCGGCGGTGACCGCTTTCGCATGGGCGTTGGCTCGCGCTCCGGCTCGGCCTTAGGCTCGATGACGGGCGGCACTGTCGGCGGTGGCAACACGAACAGGGGCGCATGGACGGAATCCCCCACCGCAGACAAAGCAAGGGCTTGCTCCAGCCGATCCCGATGGGCGTCCTCCTTGAGCCGGCTCACCTCCAGCGCATGTTGCAGGGCCTCCTTGAGGGTGGCCTGGTACTCTGCCTCCAC